ACATCTCCTTTGCAACAGTTATTTTCTTTCCTCACTTTTGTTTTCCCTACATGAAATTATTCCTGTTTTAATGAACTTCATGAGGGAGATCTTTAAGGCAGTGGTGTGCTCTCAATGGACAATTATACACATTTCTTCCTACTGTTGTAGGAATATTTGCACAGTAAAATAGGTTAACATTACCAGTTGTTTACTGAAAACCCAAGTTGTTAAGCATTTATAAGTACAAAAATGCCTTTGTCACTCATTGTTCAGGCATATGATATTTTTTCTGTCTGATCATAACTATAAAGTGCTTTAAAAACTTGCATTTTAGGCTGGGGTTGTGGCTCAGCAGTAGAGCACTTGCCTAGCATGTGTGAAGCCCTGGTTTCGATCCTCATCACCACATAAAAATAAATAAATAAAATAAAGATATTGTGTCCAACTACAACTAAAAAACAAATATTTTTTAAAAACTTGCATTTATATTTTCCCTTCTATTATTTTTTCTTTGGCGCTGTAAAAACTATATTTTGTAACCAAACTTTGACATGAACTCCAATAACTGATTACATTGAGTCATAATGTGTGTGGTGAATTTTACTTCTTTGACAGTCCAATGACACTTTTATTTTCTAGTTTTGTTAGAACACAATGCTATAAATTCCTAATTACCTGAAATTATTTTTTAATATTTTATTAACTTGAACATCTACTAATTAATATCTGCTCTGAATCTATTTTCCTCACTGGGCAATCTGAATATTATAGTCAGAATCTCTAACTCATTCTGTGTTGTGCTTTTTTTGCCTCTTTCCTTCTTTCTTATGCTGCTTCTTACACTATATGTGTACCTTCTATGTCATAGTTTCTCTCTATATAATCTTGTAAATTTGTTCATGGACTTCTATTTCTGTTTCAACCTCAAGCCGTTTGAAAGATCTCCATGATCCTGTTAACACAGGCAAATTGTTATTATCATTTTATTCCCTGCAGCATTTTCTTGGCTGTGCTTCCATGTGAGTACTTCCAGATGATGTTAATTGGACCACTAGATATCTGCAACATTTTCATTACCATATTCACAGGTAATTTTATTTATCCATAGAAATGGAAAAACAAGTACATTGTCTATCAGATTTACCAATTCATAGCTCCCAGAGCACTTTCACATTTCTAAGATTCGAGGTCCATGGAACCCACAAAGTATATCCTCCACCCATTTATATTAATCCATTAACTTTGGGCTTTCTTGAAAAAAAATTTATTAGTTATATACACAATGCCACATTCAATCAATTGGATAATGAAATGGATTCATATGCTTGTTGGTTCATCCTATGGTCTCAGTCTCAAATTCCCTTTAATAGTATAGAAATATTCCTTTTTATTGAAAGTATTTATTTACCCACACTTACCCTCAAAAGTTTTTGGGAATTTTATGATTTATATCATCATCTTTCCAACATTTTCAGCCTGGCAGTATTTTTTGTAGCAGATGTGTGTGTGTGTGTGTGTGTGTGTGTGTGTGTGTGTGTGTGTGTTTCTGGGGATTGAACCTAGGGCTTTGTGCATGTGAGGCAAGCACTCTACCAACTGAGCTATATCCCCAGCCCCTAGTAGACTTTTTTTCTTCTGGAGTTAAACAGTTTATTGTGACAAATCTAATTAAAAATAATTAGCTGTTTTTTAAAGACTTCTTCAAAATGCTGATATTGAGAAACTGATGTGACTCTATTTTTGAAAAACCAGCCTCTACCTCAGAGTAATGCCTTACCAAGGAAGGGAGCATAGCCCTTGTCCTTGGAAAAATCCACAGAGCACTCCTAGGCACATACCCACCCTGCAGAGTTGTTTGTCTGCAGATAACAGGAGAGATTGAGGCACCAGGTGTCCTTGACTCAGTCAGGCTAGGTGAGGACCCATAGCAACCCCCTAGCAACCACCAATCAGCATGAGTCAGGAAAAATACTTGAGATGTCAGATGATCCTCCCAGTAGTTTATGGTGGTTGATAACATGTTGGGAAACCATGTAGTTCAGCACATACTCCCCTCGTGGCTTAAACCAATCAGTTCAAATGAATCCCCCTCTTGTACTAACCAATCATCCCTACCCAACTTGTTCCCACCAGTGAATGTGCTAATCATGTTTTAGAGTTGTTTTATGATTTTCCCGAGGTGTGTGATTATTTGCTAAAGATGCTAGGATGTATGTGAAGTCCCTGCCTTCCCCAAAGAGTGTATAAAACTGCTGCAAACCCTGGGCTTGGGGTCTCTCAGCATCACCAGTTGCTGTGTGCATGCGGAGGACCGAGCTAGCTCGCAATAAACACCTCTTTGCTGCTTACATCGATCTTGTCTCTGGTGGTCTTTTGGGGGTCCAGAATTCGAGCATATCATATATAAGAATATCAAATGATTATTTTTATTTATTCCATGTGTTATGTGTGAGTTGCCCCTCCCTGGCCCTCAGACTACTGTCAATTTTCATTGAAGAGAGCAAACTAGCTTTTTATGTTAATTGGACTACTAGATATCTGCAACATTTTCAATACCATATTCACAGGTAATTTTATTTATCCATAGAATAAAATTTCTTTTTTATATATTTTTATTGGTTCTTTTAAATTACATATAACAATTAAATTTCTTTAGACATAATTATAAAATCTTGGAATATAATTTGCTGTAATAGAGACCAGCTTTTTTCATAGCATTTGCTAGACTTTCAGAGTAGTGGCTCCAGGCCTGTACATATGAGGCTCTTTTTCAAGCACACACACTTTTTCCAGCTTTACATCAGATTAGTCCTATAATTTTATTACAAGATGAGACCAATGGTGTTGCTCAGACATCTAATTTTGTGTTAATTTGTACAGTTTGGGATTAAAATACAAGACGATTGAAAATTTGAACACTGGCCATTAAGTTATTGTCCATTTTAATGTGTGAAAACAGTACTATGATTTTGTTTTTTAAACATCATTATCATTTATAGATAGTGTATTAACTATATATTACTGTGTAACAAATTACCCCAAAATTTAGCAGCTTAAAAATATACCTTTTTTATCCCAGGGACTCTGTAAGACAGAAGATTGGATGTGGCTAATCTGGGTAGTCTGCCTCAAGGTCTTATAAAGGCTGCAATTAAGATGTTGGCCAGGGCCAAGGTTTTATCTGAAGACTACAGAGAGAAAGGATCTGCTTCCAAAATACCTTTTGTTGTTTTGGCAGAATTCAGTTCCTTGAGGGCTTTTGAAATGAAGGTCATGATTCTTCACTGGCTGTAGCCTGAAGGACACTCTCAGTTTGTTGGTTGTATGTGCCTCTCTAACATCAGCTTGTCTCATCAAAGCCAGCAGAAGGCAGTGAGGAGAATGGGTGAGAGAGATGAATTTACTAGCAGGACACAGATCACAATCTTCTATAATGTAATCTCAGAAGTGACATCCCATTACTTTTTTGCTGTATTCTACTAAGTAGAAAGCAAGACTTATGAGATTGTCTCTGTTGGACATGGTGATGCAAGCCTGTAACCACAGCAGCTGGGGAGGCTGAGGCAGGAGAGCCAAAGTTCAAAGCCAGCTGCAGCAAATTTACGCAGTCCTAAGCAACTTAGCAAGACCCTGTCTCAAAATAAAAAGGGCTGGGCATGTAGCTCAATGGTTAAGCAATCCTGGTACCAACCAAAAGAGAGAGAGAGAGAGAGAGAGAGAGAGAGGGAAGGAGAGAGAGAAAGAATGTTCCTATACTCTACAGGAGAGGTAATTAAACCAGGACCTAAATACCACTCTTAAGGATAATGTGAAATCTATATGTCTAAGTTCCATGAATGAGAATTTTTAAGTGTCTTCATTGCATTTGTAGCTCACTGAAAAGTTTCTTGAGGCTGGACCTGTTATTAGTATGTATTTCTTTTTTGTACATGTAATTCATTTTCTTTAAAAATGTAGTTGATTACAAAAAAATCACTCAATACCTCACAAGAAATGACCACTGTTGACTTCTTAGTGTATGTACTTTAAATTTAAAATTTTAAGTATAAAACCTAAAGGTCTATTTAATGTACACATCCTGTGTATTTTAGTGCTTCTCAGCTGAATTTACATAATCACCTGTATGTTGTTGTTATTATAGTTACTATTTAAGAATTGAGATTTTACACACACACACACACACACACACACACACACACACATACACTACTAGCCCTTTAGACATTGATGTACATCAGAATCCCAAGGGAAATATACTAAAAATGAAAGTTCTAGAACCTCATTCATAGGCCTAGTGTGGGATCATAGATCTATGTATACATCCACAATTCAATAATGTCTGCAGGTGATTCATGCACAGATGGAAGATTTGCATACTTTTAGAAATGCTAGGATATTACTGAATCAAACCAGTTTTCTTTTAGGATTTGCAAGGAGTGTCTTCTAGAATAGGGAAGTTACATATCTATGGTTATTTAGTTAGGAACTAAACTAAGAACTAAGAGATCCTAACTCAGTCATTATTAATTTTATTTAAGTGTTTATTTCTTATCAGGCAGAAATCACAGGATGATCAACAGACATTGTAGTTGTGAGGGGAATAGGAGGTTTGCTGGGCTATTAAGACTCGAATTAAGTATCTGAAAGGAAAAATCTGATAGGAGACTTGCATAATCATAGAGAATGGGTGAAAACAGAAAAATAGAGGTCACACATTCATGATCTTGTCTAAGTTGTGTGAAGCCAGTTGCATCCCAATTCATAAAAAAAAAATTCCTAAATTTATTCATCTGGCAGAGAGATTCAAATTCAGTCAATGTGCATTTATGAAGTAACCCTAGTATTCTCATAAGGTCAATAAAATTGTTTTCATTTCTTTTCAAAGGACACAAAATATAAAAAAGCCACATCAACCCATCTCACAGCAATAAGTTCCTGTATTAATCCTTTTGTATATTTAATTTTTATAAATTTTATGTAATTAGATTACATATAAGCTTTAAAATAAAAAAACACTGTTTGCTTTTAAACTGCTTTATTAACTTCACAATATATAATGAGCATCTTTCCATGCAATAGGTAAATTCTGACAAAAATCTTACAGACTGCGTCAAAAACACAAACATTTAATTAGAAGCTGGTAACTGGAGACCCAAGAGAATTAATGACATCAGAAGGCTTACAGCGGTACAACACAACATGTTAGTTTAGGAAGCAAGGGTCTCCCTATTGACTTCAGGGAAAACATCAGGATTCAGGGCATAAGGCAAAACTCATCATGATGGTCATGGTGGGGGGGGTCAGTGCTAACAGCACGCAGGCTATGACTCAACTGTCTTTCCCTCAGCTTTTCCATGAGCTGTCTCACCTCCTCCCCAAACCTTTCCATATTCTCTTCTCTCATCCTTGCCTGTGGCTCTCCAAGCCTGTGCATCAGGTCCCATCTATAGTGCAGGACGGGCTGCCTAACACGGAACCGCCTACGATTTCCTCTAGGCACAAAGTATTCACCAGCTTCCAAAGGGAGGGCCAAGGGCTCCCCTTTATTATCATCTTGCTCCTTTTGTTCCTTTTTCTTTGGGGCATTTTCCATGTTGGTATTTTTTCCCACTTGTTCCTCTTTGGATTCCATTACTCCTAGAAGATAAAAGGCAAGAAAATTCATGAATTTATGATGGACATTTCAGCACCGAGGACAGAGTCCCCAACTGCTCATCTTTCACTATTCAGTGTCCTGGATATCGACGTATTTTTTAATTTCGTTTTTTCCCATCTGAAAGGCTTTGTCTGTCCTCTAGGGGGCCTCCAATGTAAGCCCTCCCCTCTCCCTATTGACCCCCCCTGTCCCCCCCAAACCACCATTTTCCCTATCGATCCATCCCCAGATTTATGCAGGCAGTAAAATGGAGGAGCAGGGATGGGAAAATTGGGGGTTGGGGTCTAAAATTTGACTTTGCACACCTTCCTCCCCCCCCCCCGCCTCCCAGCATTACCGAGGCACTTCCCTCTGATGGTTTTGGTTATTGTTTTTCATTTCTTCCTCGTGTAGTGTTTTGCTCAAGGGGATGCAGAAGGGTGTTGGGGGTCTCAGACT